ATAACTATTGTGCTATAAGAATTTTCAATTAATTCAAAGGGATGCAGATCGTCTGACAAAAGACAAGTTTTCTTATAGAAAAATTTTAGATGATTTTCCAGATCAGTTATTTCTGACAGGGTAAAAAGTTCTACATTTGACTGCTGAAGTGCTGCTAGGCTTATTGTTCTTAAAATTTTGAGAAGAAATTGATTCAGGCTACTGATGCTGAGAATTTCGCTATGAAGAGCAAAGTACTTTCCAAGACTGTTCTCTATGGATTCAATCTCCCGTGCCACCTTGACAGAGTTCTTATTGAAAGCTGTAATAAAATTATTATATCTTTGTATAGTGTCTAAGGCGTAGGTGGTGGAGTTATTAACGACGGTAATAATTTCGGATTGCTTCTTCTCAAGAGCATCAATATGTTTTTCTAAAAATATACGATCATTCTCATCGAGGTTTCCAGTGATGGACTTTATCACCGTACCCAACATGTTCACTAGACCACGTTTTCTACGTGACCGAACGATTTTATGAAAATTATCCAAAGTTTCTTGATATAGAAGAGTATAGTGAGTGACTACATTTTGGTATGCAGAAGTCGAAATTTTGTTGAACAGGAGGGGGTGTAACAAGGCTGATTTCAAGGAGATGTCTATAGAAGTTAAGTTAATGGTTAAAATATGGCGGTGATAGTGATCCAACATTTGTGCTTGACCAACCAATTCCTGGTAATATCCATTATTGGGGATCGGGCGCACTTGAAGGGCCAGGCTGTGGCTCAGCAGGTGGCTGGTCCTGTAACAAGGGGGCTTTGCGTAAGCGTTTTATGTTTCTTGGATGAGTATTTGTGGGTCTATTTTTAGATGTTACAGCCTCTATTTGGGTCTCTTTGGCTGAAGTGACCTTAGCTGACACATAGGGTGCAGTAAGCTTGTTTCGAGGGTTTTTGTGAATGTAAATAGGATCTCCAGGTTTAGGGGCTGGGGTAGAATCAGAGTGCTTTTCGTTTCGTTTGTCCAAAATTCTAGTCTCTTTATTGTGAATTTTCCTATATAGGGAATCGATAAAAGGGCGGAGTTCGTCTTTATGTCGTTGATTATATTTTTCATATACTGGCATGTCGTCGTCAAATTGAATTTCTTCGGCATAGGGGCCATAAAGGATAGAAAATGGAGAGTAACCAGTAGCGGAATGTATCGATTGATTATAGATTAGGACACAGTGAGTTACTAGATCTTGAAAATATTCCTTTGGACGTTCGTCTTTCATTACTCTGAGTTTTTCTATGAAAGTCGAGTGAAACCTTTCAATAGGGCTATTGGAATTTGGATTGTTTACTGTGATGAAATGTAGCTCAATTTTATGAAGACTCATGATTCCTTGAAGAGATTATTAGAAAATTCTGTGCCTTCGTCACATACAATTTTCCTCGGATAGTTGTGGTGCGAAAAATAGTGACGTAATTTACTCAATATTGTGACTGTCGTTTTAATCTGAAATATGGTAGACTTGAGCGTATTTAGAAAATGAATCAATAATAGTCAGAAAACATTCTTTATAACAGGAAAATGTATCTATGTGTAGAATATCGAATGGTTTTTGACCTAGAAGAGGACCTTTCAAAGGAAGTTTGTATGGATGCCTTTCATACTTATTGCGAAGACAGATATCACACTGATTAATAAAATTTGATACAGTACATCGCATATTTGGCCAGTAATATTTAGTTTTTAACTGATTGATGGTTTCGACAATGCCATTATGATTATTTTTGTGATAATTTTGAACACATTGAACTTGAGCTTCAAGATCGTCTATGTCTTGAACACGCTTGGAACAAAAGAAAATTTGGAT